AAGGAGCTCCAAAATGATAATACATACCTCCCATCCACCCAATCAAAAAAAGTTTGACCTGTTTTGCTACAATGTTTGGACTTCTTTTACCTCTTCTTCCTAAACACAGTCTAAAAAACAAACAAACAAACAAAACAAAACAAAAAAACCTTAGCCTGCTAATCACCAGGTAGTGCATATTAGAACAAAATGAATCATTATTCAGATGTAGACTTTAAAATCATGCCTTTTATATGATTCCCATTAAAATCTAAGTCCTCCTATAGCTTACAGTGCCCAATATGCCACTCACCTCTCCAAATCTCATTTTCTACTACTAGTCCCCTCAGTGTCTGTATTCCAGCCCCACTGCCCTCTTTAGTGTTGCTGGAACAACCAAAGTAATAATAAAAACTAAAAAATAAGATAAAAATTCAAAATTAAAAAAATTAAAACCAAAAAAATTACAAGTAAAAGGTAAGAAAACAAAAGTGATAGGACTTTGCACCAACTGTTTCCTTAGCCTAAACACAATTCTTCCTGAAATCTACCTGACTTATGCCCTCACCCACTTACATGTCTGCTCAAAAAGTCTATAACTGAACACTCTATCTAAAATAGCACTACCACCTTCATCATCATTCTTATTCCCTTACCCTTCTTTACTTTTCTTCACAGTACTTATCGCTATCTAACGTTATATATTATTTTTTTGTGTTTGTTTGCTTGTTTGTTGGAGGTCTCTACTGACTAGAATACAGTCTCTATGAAAGCAGGGACCTCACCTGTTTTGGTTAATGCTGTATCTCCAGAAACTAGTGCAAAATCTGGCACATAGAAGGTATTTAATGAATACTTTACTATTAGCCAAAATAACAAATAGTTTAAATGTTTTCTTCCACGAATCACTAACCCTTTTAACTTGCTAGTCATAGCAACAAAAACAACAAAAACAGTATTTTTAGTCACTCTTTTGTAGATGTGTCAATTGATAATTTGTATTTATTATGGGTTGAGACTAAAGTTTATGCTATGTAAACATTAGTCTACATAGACTAAAGTTTATGCTATGTAAACTTTAGTCAGTGGCATAGGACATAAATGGAAGGACACAATTAAAACTACTAAGTGTTCCTAATAAGGATTAAAATAAATGAAATAATTTATTTTAATGAGCTACTGACAATAGAAAATAACTTTGTGAAGAAACTCACTAACAATAGCTAGTAATAAACCATCATAAAGTTTCTGCTTACCCTGCTGAATTAAATTATATCTTCATTGTACTTGTTTCCCTTTAGATGCAGAATTCTATCAATTACCATCCATTATTGAACTTAATTCTTACTATACCGCAATTCTTACCAGAGAAGAACATCACTCATTCTTTATTTGTCAAATGGTGCAAAACAAGTGTGATTATATCAACTAGTTATCATGAAAATTACAGCTTCCATACTACATTGGTATTTTTCTAACAATGGACTACCATGATCTCTTTTGAATGCTATCACATGAACAATAGCTATTTAAGCTTGATTTTTCTTGATTCCAAACAGGTCATCATTGCTTAAAGATCTTTTGATTAATTTCATTGTTTGCCCATGAGATCCAATGTTGCATATTTTGACCATTTTCTTCAAGTCTCCAATTCCAAGCCAGCTGCCTTTTCTATAGACAAAGAATTTTATGCTATTTTTTAAACTGTTTGATATAAGCTCTTTCAACTATCTTTCTTCCTAAAATATTTCTGTTTTATTATACAATATCTTGTCTTTTCCTGATTTTTACAGAAATTAGTTCCTCCCTTCCAATGCTAATTTCTCTACCTGTGCTTACACATCAATTTCTCCTACTTCCTAGTTTCCATCCCTATTCCACCACTCACTCCTTCTCCTGTGCCTTTCAGCATCAATGTCTTCCCCTGATTTTAATTGATCCAACTATCAAGTTATTAATACTACTTTCATTATGCTCCAAATCCTTTCATAGTTCCCAAGCATCTCTAATTATTCTATTATCTCGTCAAGGCATTTAAGATCTTCACCAAGATCAACTGACCCTAAATGGGTTTTCTATGCTACTCCTAGAACAAAATCTTTGCTTCTGCTAGACTGATTTCGGCTTAAATATGGTTTAATCATTATCTTCCCTGATTTTTGACAGTGCTGTGAATTTCACTTAAATGACCTACTTCTTTTCTCATTTGCCTTATTTTCAAGGTTCAGCTCAAATTCTATCTTCTCTGTGATGCTTCCCTTATAGCCCTAAACTATATTGATTCTATCTTTTTCTGATTCTCTGTAATTTTCACAAATCCTACTTAACAATCAATTACAATTTATTTTTACTTATATCTGCATTCATGTTTATTCTTGCATCCTTTCTTTTGAGTAAATAACCTAAACAACCAGACAACAGGCTAAGATTTACTGAACACTCACTTGCCAGTCACTCTGTTGGGTCAAGGGAATATAAGAATGAATAATGTTTCTTTTATTTATTCAGAACTCTTAACACATTCTCTCAGGTAATAAAAAGGTATTTATTGAATAAATGAATAAAATATAACCACTGATAGGCTTATTAAAAATGACCACTATTCCAAAGATATTGTGGAGCTGATAATACCACAAAAAAGGTCAAGCAAGAAGTAAAAGATTTTTGTGATATCAATCTCAAGTATTGATTATTTCGAGAGCAAAACCAACTACTAATTTTAAAATCATGTTTTCTAAAAAGAACATTTTAGTGTTCCCATTATTGCCAGCACATCTGACAAGTAGGTGGAAACCTATGATTCGTAAATACAGTGAACAATACATTATTAACAATTACTAATATCCAAGACATTCTAATTCTTAAAAATGCATCTTATAAGAAGAGAACATAAATATCAAAACTATACAAGCAAAAAAAAAACAAACAATGCTTAAGAAAACATACAAATTTCTAAACATGCTGGTAATTCCACTACTTAAACCCAACAAAATTTTTGTATGACCCATTATTTTCAAAGCATGTATCTTAAAACTCTGTTCTACATACCTGTCCAGTCTCCTACTATTTTAAAGTGGATGCCAAATGTTGCTTTAGTTTCAGTAGGACACTAAAAAACAAACAAACAAACAAACAAACAAATAAATACTAGAATCAATTCAGAATAATAATTATGTATTACTAGGTATCATTGAATACAATGTTTATTCTTATAGCAAAGCCCCCAAATCAATAGAAAATAGGAAGGAATGGACTAAAAATTGTATAGAACCCCATCATTGGAAGACAAAAAAAATAAAGAAATGTCAACTAGTCAATATTACAACACACATTTCTCTACATACTCATAGATTATATAAAACAACATAATACACACAGTCTAAAACTGCTAGTATATTACCTGTAACTACAAATCTTGCTTAAATACCTTTTGAGTTAAGATCTCAAAGAGGATATAGCTTTTAACTACAAAGGAAGAAATGGAGACTAGTAATTTTAGTGTCCTTTTTTCTTCAGATATTATTACATACTTCACATCCTAACAAATTCCAGAAAAAATTATATAATTTAAATATTATATTATTAAAATTTCATTTATAATTATGACTCTAATATTTAATTATTTCACTTAAATTCTATTTTTTAATAACTCTGAGATTAATCAGTTTTGTCATCAGTAAACCTCCAAATAAGATTTTGTGATCTGTAAAAACCACCGACCATTTTTACTTCATACTACCTAAGGCTGGCCAGAGTTTCTATGCAGTAAAAATTGTAGTTTCCAGAAAGCAAGAATTCCAGCAGAGTTCCAACCTACCAATCTGACTGTCCACAGGTTGCCTGATGTTTACCCCACTGACTTAGGTTATGAAAAGAAAATGTAAGCCAAGAAGATATCAGAATAGGGAGCAAAAAGGTTTGTCTTTGTGTGACAAAGTGTGCACCTGACTTGACTTAATCTCATAATGTATTCTGAAAGAAAACATACATTTATGCCAAGTACTCATATCTGTTTTATTCCTTCAGCACAGACATTGTAAAAGATATTTACATATGATGTAAAACATCTTCTCAGTTCTTAAAGGAGCCTATAAACCTTATTTTTTTAAGAGCTGGCCAAATGTATCAGTATAGCTTTTAATATTGATGTGGTTTTGAATAGATAAAACACAATATTTTTCTCTTAAATTCTTGGGAACAATGGCTTTATAAATTACTGATACTTCCTCAAACTAGCTAAAAATTAAGGAGAGCTTTTTACACCGTTTTTGCCCAATCATATCACTGCAAATTTGAAGGGGGCCTGCACACAATAACACACAGAATGGCTTCAGCATGTGTGGTTTGAAACAATGACTGAAGATTTTAGAATCACATTTTAGTAACTTTGCATAAATAATGTTCAGATTCACTAATGTTGCTTAAAGCACAGTGTAGTTATTCTTTAGTGTTTTCTTACTATCTTTCAAAGAATGTTTAGAAAATTTCTCAAAGAGAAGAAATAATAAAGTATTGATATCTATGACTATCTTGTTTTTTCCTAAAACATTAATAAAGAAATATGCTCATGACCATTTTTAGTTAAAAAAGTTGCAAGATAATATGTGTAGATAAGATCACATTATTAAAATAAAAAACAGATATTAGTGGGGGGTTTTTTCTATACATAGAAATAAGTTGAGAATATATAATATTCTACTAGGAACATTAACTTCTGATACGTAAAATTAAAGAAGGAGAAAAAGAATTCATTTCACACACATCAATTTTTTAAAAAATTATTATTAGCTTTTGTAGTTTTTAATTTTAAATACTTTAAAAAATTAAATCTAAAACGAAGCATTAAAATATTGCTGTCTTTCTTTAGGCTCACTTAAGTTCCTTAGATGAAGAGAACGGAGTTTGGCTCATGGTGACCTTAATGTAAGTAGTAGAACATAGAACACCTTAGTTTAAGAATAAGAAAATAAAATGACAGAATATATGACAACAGATCTGGGTTAATGTGTACTTTGCTATCCTGGAGAAAAAAAATAACTTTTTCTTCAAATTATTTGTTCAACATGGTACTAGGTTTTTAATGTGCTCAAAAGACTAATGATTTTATAACAGTCCCACAAAAATATAAACAGATATTATGTAATTGTCTTACATTTGGGAACTAAATGTAAAAATGATGTCACTGCACAAGGATTTACTCAACATGGAAAAGAAATTTAAAGCTACAGTGTTTGTTTTTTAATTTATTAAACCAGAGAAAACGATCGTAGAACATGATGTTCTTTAACATTATTGTCAGGTCTTTATTTTTAACTCTTTCTTCAAAAGCTCTTGTTTCACATTTTCTGCTCCTGTTCAACATTTCCACCTGAAATTTATTCTAAATGGAATATATCTAAAATTTCTGTTATCTTACTTGCCAAAGTTATCTTCTCCTTCTCATTTCCCTGTGTCTGGACATGGACCCTACACCTCCTTATCAAAACAGAGGCTCAAATTTCAGAATAATACCGAGTATTTCTCTTTTTGCCAGCATCTAATTTTCAAGTCCTTTCAAATAATCTTACCAAAGAAAGTGTCTAACTGCAGCAATATCATATTGATTAACCTTTTGTGTCTATATGAGGAAAAACACCCACCTTCTTTCTTTCCTATAGTCTATGGCCAACTACATTTGTTCCAAATTCTTTCCAACTTTATATTCCATGTTCTTTCTCGATTCACTCTAATCCAGCTAACCCAGCATGAATCAACTAACACATTTTCCTGTCCTTTCATTTCCCCACTTGCTAGTTTAGTCATTTAGAATGACTTCATCCTCATTTCTTATATTGAACCCCAGCAATTCTTTAAGGCCTCTTAAATGCCACTACTTTCATAAAGAAATTCTTATTTTCCCTCCACAAAAATTTCTCACTTCACAGAAACCCCGAATTATCTGATTTTATGCCTTTTATTACAGTCTATCTCTTTTAATTTTATGTAATTTATCCATACATTCAATAACGATGTATTGAGTACACAAAATGTTCCACAGACTATACTAAGAGCTCATGCAATTTCGCAAATGAGGATTGTTCTAAAAGTAAGTAAGGAGATAATGAGCCAGGAACACGGAATCTATCATAATTAATGTAGCATCATGACTCTAAACATTTTGACAAATATAACGTTTCAATGTTTACTTGTTTACTTGATAGAAAAATACTGTTTACTTGTATACGTGCATGACGAAATTACACTCAGTATTAAACAGAAAGATTCTGGAGGAGTATATAAAGAACTTTTACTAACTTTGATAAAATGTGTGAATTTATGTCATCTCCCTCAAAAAAACAAAAGAATAAAATGACAGTTTAGAAAAATAAAAATGCAAACCTCAATAGCAAAGGTGAAATGGAGAGTGATAACAATAATGAAGTGTCACAAATTTTGAAAGGTGAAATGTAGATAAGACGGTGCTTTGGGAACTGAGTCAATTGAAAAAAACATACAAAGCTGAAATGCCACTACCTTTAAAAAGGGGATCACCTTGAGAAGCAAGCCCATCTTTCCCTCACAACTTTGGGACATCTTAGGTCTCAGAGATAGTAGAAGGGAACTGGAGTTAAGAACTCATGATTTAAAAAAAAAAGCTGGAATAATTTGACCCCCAAGCGAGAGCCCAGCAACTATTCCTCCATAAACTCAGAGACAAGTAGGTGAGACAAAAAGGGCTCTAGATGCAG